GAGCACTTGACCCCGACAGCCAAGAGAGAAGGCCACCTGGCTACTGCTCCAGCTGGTGGCAGACCTTGGCATCATCCACATAGCTCTGTTTTTTTTGTTCTTGTTGTTTTTGTACCAGGGATGAACTCGGGATCTTGCAGTTGCAAGGCAGGCACTGGAACCACTGAGCTAAATCCCTAAATCCCCAGTCCCCACATAGCTCTGGTTTTGTCAGCCATGTGATATAGACTAGAAGAGTTGTGGGGTCAGGAAGGCTTCCACTCAGATTTCAAAAGGCCTGAGAGGCCAGGCAGTGTGACCCTGAGAGGGCAGTGTGTAAAGGGTAATGTATGAAGCCAAAAGTGCCGTGGTGACCCTGGGATATTGGAGAAGCCAGGAATGTGGATCCTCTGAGGAAAGCTGCAGGGAGTGAGCAGAGAAGCCATCAGGGCTACAACTACAGGCAGCGCTGTGGGGCAGGCCTACCCAAGCTTTTTGGAATTCCCATCTTGCCACAGATGTCCCCAGGTGCTGGACATGGATTTAATGTTTGCTCTGCTGGATTTTGGTCTTGTTTTGGTCCCATTCTTTTCTATGCCCTTATTTTTAGCTTTTGGAATGGTAGTGTTTATTTTGCACCATTGTATGTTGAAAGTATTTAACTTTTTCACTTTTACAGGGGTTCACAGTTAAATTTTGCCTTAAATCTCAGAATTTAGACTTGGACTTTTCAGCAATGCTGAAACATTAGGACTTTGGCAACTCTTAGAGATGAAGTAAATACATTTTGCATAAAAGGATGCACATCATTCTTCTGGGGGCCAGGGTGGAATGTTATGGTTTATTTCTAAAATGTCCCCCAAGCCTCATGCGTTCATAGGTGGGGCTTTTGGGAGGTGACTGGATCACGGGTATGTGATATTGAACCAGTCCACTGATGGGTTTACATCTACGTGTGATATTTAGAGGTGAAGCCTGGTGAGGTGGGTCACTGGACATGGCCCCCAACAATATATATCCCTCCTCTTGTCTTGATCCTGCGCTGCTTCCTGCCTGCCATGCCATGGACTGTTTCTCCTGTGCCATGACACCCTACCTTGAAGCCAGCTAACTATGGATTGAAACCTCTACAAACTGTGAGCCAAAATAAATCTTTTCTCCTCTAACTTGCGGGTGTCAGGTATTCTGTCCCAGTAACAAGAAAGTAACTAAGATAAAATATATAAAAAAAGAAAGTAACTAAGGAAGAAAGATTCCCTCAAGAGTTAAAAGTTAGCTAGATGTGGTAGCACAGACTGTAGTCCCACATTCTGAGAGGCTGAGGCAGGAAGATCACAAGTTCAAGCTCAGCCTTGGCAATTAGCACCTTAGTGAGACTATACCTCAAAATAAAACTTTTAAAAAAGGGCTGGGGATGTAGTTCAGTGTGAAGGCCTTGTGTTTCACAACTAGGAGAACTTGGTTCTAGTACAACTGCCCCCCCCCAAAAAAGAATGTTACTATACTGACTCATCAGAAAGGCAACTAACGTGACACAATGTAGGAACCAAACTATGGCTCCTAAATGCAAGAGCTAGAGAGGAAGGATAGAGTGTGGATGGGGTGGGGAGGCATTAAAAATGGAATGTTCTGGGGCCAGGGATTTAGCTCAGTGGTTCCGCCACCCGCCTTGCAAACAGAAGGATCCAAGTTCGATCCCCAGTACCAAAAAAAAAAAAGGAATGTTCTTTTTTCTAACTGTAATGTTCTAAAGGAAATCAAATTCCCTAATTCAACAGCACTTGGCAGTGTACACATGTAATCACACCATTTGGGAGCCTGAGGCAGTTTGAGACCACCCTGGGACATACAATGAATTCAAGGCCTGCCTAGAGTACATAGTGAGACCCTGCTCCCAAAAAGAGCATACTCAAGGCTCCAAAAGGCATTTGTGGATTGGGATGAAAACCTGGAACAGACTCAAATAGTGCTAAGAACACCCTAGGGACAAAGGGCCCAAATATGGCAAACTGATCCTTTAGGGTCTCTGACAAGCATAGTTGTTATGTAAGTATATTACAGACTACTTATGAATTTCCCAGGTAGCTAAGTGTGGTGGTGCATGCCTGTCATCCTACCACTCAGGAGGCTGAGGCAGGAGGATTTCCATGAGTCAGAGGCCTGCCTAGGCTACACAGAGAGTTCAAGTCCAGCCTCAACTACATAGCAAGACTCTGTCTCAAACCACCACTCCCAAAAAAACTTCCCAGGGTGGGATTGGGGATGTAGCTCATGTTACAGTGCTTAGTTATCATGGCCCTGCAGCCCTAGTTTCAATTCCTATTACTGATGCTGCTGCTGCTACTACTACTACTACTACTACTACTACTACTACTACTACTATCACCACCACCACCACCACCACTACTACTACTCTTCCAGTTGGGTTTGGTGGTGCATGCCAGTAATTCCAGCACTCGGGAGGCTGAGGCAGGAGGATCACTGTGAGTTTGAGGTCAGCCTGAGCTACATAGTCCCACCCCAGTATATTATCCTGTTGTTTGAAAATGCAGGGAGGAGTTAGGCTGGTGGCTTTTTGTCTGACATGACTATTTCCTCTGGAGTACTGCTCAAGATGAATCACAACCTCATGCTTATTTTCAGAATCCAACCTTTTTTTGTCCTTTCTACTTCCTTGATAGCAAAACCTGGCTCAGTTATAATTCAATTAACTAGTACTTCCATATTTTATGCTTGATTTTTACTATCTCTATAATCAGTACTGCCCACTACACACTTACCTTCAGTGCCTGTTGTCCAATGGGATAAAATGCTACCCCCAAAGGATGTCAGAACCACTTGAACTCAGTATTAATTTCCATGAGATTTAATTAATATTGGCCCTCCTTTTTTAATGTAGACAGAGGAGCAGAAAAAAATGTACTCTGAACTGCCTTCTATCTTGAATATTCATGTCTGTTGTCCATTTTTTACTTCAGAATGACTGCTTTGGGGCAAGAGGGAGCTAGAAATTTGAGATGGGGAAAGGACAAGACAAGGACCAAATGGACATGGCAGACAAGACAGTTGTATAGTTCAATCTGAGGCCTTTGTGGAAACCACATGGCAAGAAGGCTGGAAGGGGGCCAGGGATTTAGCTCAGTGGTTTCGCTGCCTGCTATGCAAGCGCAAGGACCTGAGTTCAATCTCTGGTACTGAAAAAAAAAAAAGGCTGGAAGGGCCGGGGATTTAGCTCAGTGGTTCTGCCACCTGCCTCGCCAAGTGCAAGGACCAGAGTTCCATCCTCGGTACCACAAAAAAAGACAGAAAAAAAAGCTCAAGAGAAACAGGGCAGGCTGAGGATTTAGCTCAGTGGTTTCGCTGCCTGCTGTGCAAACGCAAGGACCCGAGTTCAATCCCCGGTACCAAAAAAAGAAAGCTGGAGCATTTACCCTTTTCCAGCCAGATCCCAGTGCTGCACTGGATTCAGCCCAGGGTCCCATCTGATGGGTGCCTGGAGAAGCCCAAGTATGACTGGGCTTTCTCAAGAGAGACTGCCCTGTTGCTGACTGTGCCAGCCTCTACAGGCAGAAGCAGTGAGACGTAATATTTTTTGTCTCCTGTAAAAATAAGTCCAATTACTTGAAAACCATAGAGCACAGTAAAATTAGACAAAAATAATCTCTCCTGAATCAGCCTAGGGGTATGTGTGGTGGGACAAACTTGTAATCTCAGCACTCAGGAGGCTGAGGCAGGAGGATTGCTGGGAGCTCCAGGGCAGCCTAAATTACAGAAAGAGATCCTGTCACACAAAAAAAACTACTCCACATTTGGTGAACCCCACCCCCACCTCATGCTGGGTTAGGTGCTTGATCCTTACAACTCTAGGCCAGCAGCCCTATCACTGCACTCACCCCAATATGATGACCTGTTTCAGTTATTTTAGGAGAGGTGGCTTTGGCTTTTTTGTTGCTGAAACCTATAAACTTTTTCTTAGAACGTTTCTCAATGCACAAAATACATAGGATCACAAAAATATACATAGGATTTCAAAAGAAACCAACCATATTGGAACACAGTCCTTCACTCCAGAGGTCTGGGTAGGAATTCCTTGAGTACAGGGACCGCGTCTTCATCTCCAAATTGCCAGTGCCTAGCACAAAGCCTGGCACATAGGTGGTACTTAGAAATGTTTATTTAACGAATGAATAGAAAGATAGCTATTGTCAAGTCAGCCTGAGGAGTGATCCATTGCAACTGCTTATGCACACATCAGTGGTTTGCATATGTCTACCCCATCTAAAATCATCCAGATTGGGGCTGTGAGGGAACCCATGCTCAACAACAGGTATCATAGCAGCTAGTAATGATAGGCTATTGGAAGACCAGGAAAACAATAAACTCATTTCTCCTGCTGGAATATTCAGAGCAAAGGTAAACAGGCTCTGTCTTAAAGAGGCGATCTCTTCAGTTTGGAAGCGTGATGCCTAAACGTCTTTAAATCTCTACCAACAGTTCTGATGGAAGAAAGAAAGGAACCTGAGCTAGCTTGTTGGTATTCTCTAGAGGTCTTCTGCTATCCCAAATTGGGTCTCTCATCTCTGAGAAAGAGAAAAGCATCCCTAAAGACCACACTAGGGAAGACATGTGCTCTTCTAGGTTTAGGCATAGTGTCAGTCTTAGAAATTTTTTGTTTATGTACCAAGAGAAAAAAACTAAAGAAGCAGAAACAAAAGCCATTTCCATCTCTAGATATATAAAGGGCCAAAACTTTGCTCTAAATTGAGTGCTAAGTTCTATTAAATATTTTAGAAAGAAAAATAAAACCCCATTTTAAAGCTGAAATCCACTACTACATGGGGTTCAGAAATCTCACTTTTACAGCTTTTAGAGAGACCTTCCCAAGTTAGAAGGCTTCTCTGAGAGATGGCAGGATGCAGTTTTCAGTCGCTTGATAGGGCTCCCAACATCTGTTGGGAGAAATATGGCTTCAAGTAGGTGCCTTCTTTTAAGGAAATTAAAAAAAAAAAAAAAAAGGAAACTACAGGTCAAATTTTTGCTTTTAATAGAAAAAAAAAGCCTCCCATTCCTAAGGTATGTGCTTTCCTTTTTGACCTATTTTTCCTTTAAGTTGTCTGCTGTTTCCCTATATTTTTCCTAGTGCAGTAAACAATGCAATCAAAGAAATAAAACCAGGGTCCACTCTTGCCCCAAACATTGAAGAGAGGGTCAAAGAGAAGGAATCACAGTATGGAAAATGGCCCAGCTCCAAATATACAAACATTTATGGAGGAAAAAAAAGAAAGGAAAACAAAACACATACCCTCCAAAGACATTATTATTGATGTTCCTGGTGCATGTTCTATAATATAATGTCACAGACAGTGTTTCTTTCCCAGAGTCCAGCTCGGTGCCTCAGGAAAGGCTGGGGGCGTTTACCAGTCTTCCCTGCCAAGCCTAAGGCTCTGTATGAGCTCAATCTCTCACAGAAACATCTGTGGTATAAATGAGTCTAAAAGGGGATGAAGGCAGGCAGGCACCTGCCACTGTTCTCTAATCAGCCAAAAAGCTGAAGAGCATGGGACTCACAAGACAGATGCCATCTCATGATGAGATGGTGGGGGGAGAACAAGAGGAAGCACCAAATGAGTGGCTACTTTTGGTTCCAACAAAACAAAACAAAACAAAACAAGGCCTACTGAATATGGCAGCTGGTCTGGGTGAGGAACTCCCCTGTTCCTGGAGTCATGCAATAAAAACGATGGCTTTGGAGCCCCAGCCCCATGACAGCCACAGGTTAAGAACCAGAGCAATTTACACCATATCACATAGTTTGCAAATGAATGGGCTGATCCCAGGTTAGGAGGCTAAGTGCTTTGACAAAGTGGGGGCCAAAGTGAGCTATCACTTTGAACCCCAAAGCATAGCTGTGGCATTCCTTGATTTCTACTTCTGCAAAACCATAAGCCACTGCTGCCACTGTTCTGTGGTGATGTATTCTTCCACTTACCACCAATATGGCACCCCTGGTAGCAACCCTCAGAGATGGGGGGACATCAGTTACATCTCTGGAAGACAGGTAATAGCCTTGCCCCATCCTCGCCAAAGCAATTCCCTTTCTAAACTGCTGCTGGCGTGCTACATTCCCCTTTAAGCAGAGTTCAACTTCCATTTGTTTCAGAGCCTTTCAAGGACACAAAAGAAAGTATACTTCTGCACCTGCATGCCAGTGGGTTACCTACCAATGTCAGATCTGTGTTCCAGAGTTTGGTCAATGCATCTTTACAAACATAAGACCAAGTGTACACAGATAGGACTAGTCTGTGAAAGCTCGCTGGTTACTTTGATGGCTCCTCCTAAAGAAATAACTTTCTTACAATAAGATGATTAGGACATTGAGTGAACTCTCAACTTCTGGAAGGGTAGCTTGTTTTGTCCATTTTTCAATAAGAGGATGGGAGGAACCCAACATTTTTAGTTATAACAATGAGATTTTGTTTTTGTAAAAAAGGATCCTATGTGGAAATGAGTGGGACAATGATAAAAATAAACAATTAAAATTCCAAACCAAAACATATCTCCTGGCCCCAAGATCCCAGTTAGTCCTCTAAGACTACAATCTCCACATTGTGGACTTGATGTTGATGTTCTTCCATCTCAGCCACAACTTTCTCCTCAGTCCTCAGCTCTGTCTCCAAGATGACTGCTTTGCTCTCAGTGTCTTCAGCCTCAGGGTCCGGGGCTGGGTCAATTTCAATGATGGTCTGCCCGTCCTCTGAGGTGCTTTCCACAGCCTGGATTGCTGAGGTCAGACCAGACTCCATGGCCACCAGCTCCACAGGGCTCACCATGGTAGCCATGTTGCCCAGGGTACTGCCATCCTGCATGGTGGTGGAGCTTAGCAGTGCCAAGCTAGATGAAGGGTGGATGGTCACTGTGTCTGGTGAGCTGCTCTTGGCAGAGGAGACCACTGTGGCGTAGCGGAAGAGCTGAGGGCCAGAAGGCAATGTGTGGACAGTCACAGGGCTGGAGCCCTGGCTGAGTGTGGCCACGGGAATATTGCCCATGGAAAAGGACTGACCCACTGGGGTGATGGTGATGGGGGAGATGACTGTGAACTGAGGCTGCTGCTGAACAGGAGGAGAAGGGCTCAGGACAGTGGTGGAGGCCGGCCGCTGGAGCCGGGGCCTTTTTGGAGGTTTAGGAGTGCTCACAGGCATCAGTACCACATTTTGAACTGTCTGGGATTTCAGCCTATGATCCTGGGCTTGCTTTTTTTGCTCTTCCAACTGACGTTCCAAGTCTATGAGGAAAAAAAACAAGACTGTGTGGAGGGGAGTGTAATATTTGGTACATTAAAAGGGGAGTCAGGTGACACGGGGTCTTGTCCGGGTTTACCTACTGTGTAGCCTCAGGCAAATCACTCCATTATGTCTTTCTTCCTTCTGGTACTGGAGATTAAAGCCAGGACCTTTGCCCTGAGCTACATTTCCAGCCCTTTTTATTTTTTATTTTGAGACAAGGTCTTACTAAATCACTAAATCACCCAGGCTGGACTTGAACTTCCAATCCTCCTGCCTCCACCTCCCAGAGTGCTGGGGTTACAAGCCTGGGCCACCACACCCAGCTCCATTGTTTTGAAAATGACTAGACTGGATAATTTATTTATTTATTTATTTTTGGTATCGGAGATTGAACTCGGGACCTTGCGCTTGTGAGGCAGACGCTGGAACCACTGAGCTAAATCCCCAGCCCCAGATTGGATAATTTTAAAAAATCCTCTCCAATAATTATATTTCATTATAGAATTAAAGGCAACGCAACAGTTCAGAATCTTTTTTAAACTGTGATTCTACTTTACTCAACTCTAGAACCTCTCTGGCATTTTGTCACCTATCAGCAAAATGCAAACCAAAGAAGCCTCCAACTGGTCTTTTTTCTCTTTTTCCAAATTTAGGCCCAGGTTTAAACCCAGGGCCTCAAGCAGGTTAAGCACCTGCCCTACCTCTGACCTACATCTCCAGCCTCATGTGTGTATGAATATTTGGGGCAGGGGGTACTAGGGATTGAGCCCAAGAACTTTACATTAAGCTATATCCACAATGATACATCAGCAGGGTGTAGTGGCGCATGCCTGTGATCCCAGCACTCGAGAGGCAGAAGGAGGAGAACTGCTGTGAGTTTGAGGCCAACCTGGGCTATATAGTGAGGCCAAGTCCAGCCTGAACTACAAAGTGAGACCCCATCTCAAAAAGCAAATGATACATCATAATTTTACATATTTATGTGATATAGTGTGGTATTTCAATGCCTCTATATAATGTGTAATGACTAAATCAGGTAATTGGCATATATATTACCTCAGACAAATAGCACTTCTTTGTGTTAGGAGCATTCAAAATCTTCTCTACTTGCTATTTTGAAATTTCAATTAATTGTTGTCAACCATAGGTGCCCTATCATATTATATAACATTAGAATTAATTCCTTCTATGCATCTCTGTACCCATTAATCATCCTCTCTCCACTTTTCCTTTCCCTGTACCCTTCCCAGACTCTGGTAACCACTTGTGTGTGTGTGTGTGCGCGTTGCTGAGCACTGAAAATAGGACCTCATGGATGCAAGATAATCATTCCACCACTAAGCCATATCCCCAGTGCTGGTAACCACTAGTCTATTCTCTACTTCTCTGAGATCGTACAGTTGGCCTTATAGCTTGAATACCTCTGTCTGGGTCTTTTTTTGTACTGGGGATCAAACTCGGGTCTTTCTGCTTGCAAGGGAGGCGGTGGAACCACTGAGCTAAATCCCCAGCGAAAGTTGATCTTAGTTTTTTTTTTTTTGGTACTGGGGACTGAACTCAGGACCTTGTGCTTGCAAGGCAGGTGGCAGAACCACTGAGCTAAATCCCCGGCCCTTCCTCTGTCTGGGTTTATAGATGAAATAAGGACCAGCACTCAAGAGAGGCAGGAAGATCCTAAGTTTAAAGCCAGCCTGGGGTACATAGCAAGCACAAGGCTGGGCTATACAGCAAGATCCTGTCTCAAAACAACACACAAACCAAAAAAGGCATGAGAACACATGCCTGATATCCCAGCACTTGGGAGACTACATAGGAAGTTTGAGACCACCCTGACCTACATAGAGACCTTGTTGCAAAAAACAAAAACAAACACCCCCCACCCCTGCCAACAAACAAAAAACCACTGGGTCTGGTGGTATGAGCACCCTGGGAGGCTGAGGCAGAAGGAACGGAAGTTTGAACCTAGCCTGGGCAACTCAGTGAAACCTTGTCTCAAAAAGTAAAACAAGGGGTGGGAATGTAGCTCAGTGCATAGGGCCCAAGTTCAATTCTAAGTTCTACACATGAGAAAAAAAGAAAGAAAGAGAAAGAGAAAGAGAAAGAGAGCGAGAGAGAGAGAGAGAGAGAGGAGGGGGGGAGAAAGGAAAAGAAAAGAAAAAAGGAAGGAAGGAAGGGAGGAGAGAAAGAGAGGTGGGAAGAAGGGAGAGAGGAGAGGGGCAGGAAAGGAAACAAAAGGAAAAGAAAAAGTACAAAAAAGAGAAAGGGAAGGAGGGAGCGGGGAGGGCAGCAAGGGAAGGATATCTGCACAATTTGTTCAACACTGTCATGGAGCTACAAGGGCCACTGGGAAAAACAATGGCTCGCAAACTGCCTTCCAAGGCAAGATGAAGTTGCTGCATTGGGTGGAAAATTCCTTTGCTGGTGACCTAAATTGTCATGGTCTCCCATTAGCCCAAAGAAGTCTATAGGAAGTTACAGAGGGCTGGGTATACAGCTCAGGGCAGAGCACTTGCCTAGAAAGTTACAGAGGAAGTCCCTAAGAATTACAGAACTGAGGTCTGAGTGTAGTTATTTTAACAGAGATCCAGAGAGGAAAAGTGACTTACTTAAAGTTATAGCACTTGGTCCAGGACAAAAATCTTCTGATGGCCAATTTAGCTGCTTTTTCATTACATGCCTATCACTATTCCTTTCCCAAGTGTCCAATTCAACCTTGGTGATCACTGGTGAGTCAGGTTCTACATTGTAACTTCTCCATTGCTTAGTATCTGATAAGCACCCTGGAAATAATCAGTTACACCAGTAGAGCACTTTGCTCCCTACGTGTGATTTTGTGATACAATAAGAAATGAATACAGGTTGGGGTGGTAGCTCATGAGTACAGTGCTTGCCTAGCAGGCACAAGACCCTGGTTTCGAACCCAGGATCCTCAAACCACACCCCCAAAACATAAAACAGCTATAAACTGTGCGTCCCATGCATGCACGCACACATGCAGACAGTTGCAGGCCCTGGTCCCAGCCAAACAGTTCCTAAAAACCTTGGAATCTCTAGAGTGATGAGCATCTCTTGAATACTAATGAGATGACTGGTGTCTGGGGACCCTTTGGGGTGGGGGCAAGTCTCCTGAGAGACCAAGTCATGATTAGAGAGTGGGCCCCTCTCAGACCTCTGAGATGGGGAGAGACCTTCGGCCAATCAGTCATGCCTGCATAATGAAGCCTCCAGAAAAACCTATAAGGGAAGAATTCAGAGAGCTTCCAGATGTTGAACCCATGGAGGTTCCTGGAAGGTGTACATCCAGGGAGGGCATCAGAGCTCCATGCTGCTTCTCATATGACCTTGCCCTGTATAGCTCTCCCCTATGACTGTTCATTTGTATCCTTTGCAATATTGTGGGTTGTGTTTCGTTTGGTCTGGTGGTACAGGGGATCGAACCCAAGGTTTTCACACTGAACTACATCCCCAGCCCTTTTTATTTTCAGACAGGGTCTCGAAAAGTTGCCCAGGCTGGCCTTGAACTTGTGATCCTCTTGCCTCAGCCTCCTGAGTAGCTGGGATTATAGGTGTACACCTTCAAAGTTTATATAAACTGAATTTTTTCCATCTTCAAAGGTAATTAGCTGGGTGTGGTGTCGCACACCTGTGATCCCAGCATTGGGGAAGCAGAAGCAGGGGATCTCTGTGAGTTTGAGGCCAGCTTTGACTATATAGCAATATCTATGGCCATACCACCCTGAATGTGCCCAATCTTGTCTGAACTATATAGCAAGACCCTGTCTCAAAAACTAGAATAAAACAAAACAAAAACGGTAATCAAAGAAAACTGCACTTGAAGCAGGGTATAGTAGCACATGCCTATAATCCCAGCACTATAAGGCTGAGGCAGGAGGATCACAAGTTTGAGTTCAGCCTGGGCAACTTATCGACTTAGCAAGACCCTGTCTCAAAGTAAAAAATTAAAATAGCTAGGAAAAATAAACAAATAAAATAGCTAGGGATGTAGCACAGTAGTAGTCAGACCCTGGGTTCAATCATTGGTAAAGTACAAGAAACAAAAACCCAAAAACCAAGGAATCAAAAATAATAATGACCATTGCTGATATGCTCAAACTGGTGACATAAATTGGCATAATCTTCTTGGGAATTGATAATAGGTCACAAAAATCCACAGGAAATTATCAATACCATTTAGTCTTAGGAAGTTTAGTCTTAGGAAGTAACTTAGGACATAAAAAAGTTACAGTCAAACAAATTTACCACAAAACCGACTATGAATGAAAATCTGGGGGCAACCCACTTTCTGGTCCCCCTTCTGTCTCTTAGGCAGAAGATTCCTTTCTCCCAATAAATACTTCCTATTCTTAAAAAAAAAAAAAAAGAAAGAAAGAAAAGAAAATTTAGAAAATTTAAATGCACCCCTAGAAAAATGTTCAAGTAAAGTATTACAGAATAATTTGGGAAAATATTAATATGACATGGTGAAAGGGCAGAAAATAAAAGTTCATGTTATAATTTTTTTCTCCAGTACTGGGGATTGAACCAAGGGCCTCTTCACAGACCTACATGGTCAGTCCCTCTTCATTCTTATTTTGAGACAAGGTCTCCCTAAGTCACCAAGTTACCAAGGCTGGACTCGAATTTGTAATCCTCCTGCCTTAGCTTCCCAGAATGCTGGGACAAGAAGCATGTACCATCAGGCAGGGGTTCATGTTATATCATAATTAGAACTAAAAATATAAGCTGAGTACAGCGGCACACACCTATGATCTCAGTTACTCAGGAGGCAGAGGCAGGAGTATAACTTGAGACCAAAAGTTTGAAGTCAGCCAGGACAACACAGGAAAACCCCATCTCAAAAAATAAAATAAAACAAAATAGAATAAAGCTAGGTGTGGTGGTGCATGCTTGTAATCCCAACACTCTGGAAGGCTGAGGCAGGTGGATCAGAAGTTTGACCGCAGCCTGGGCAACTTAATGAGATCCTGCCTCAAAATAAAAAAATAAAATAAAATAAAGGCCTGGAGCTACAGCTCATTGTGAAGGGCCTGGGTTTAATCACCAGTAAAAGAGAGAGAGAGAGGGAGAGGGAAAGGGAGAGGGGGAAAGGGAGGGGGGAGAGAGGGAGGAGGAGGGGTGTGTGAGAGAGAGGGAGATGGAGAGAGAGAGGGAGGCAGCGAGGGAGCAGGAAGGAAAGATGGGAGGACAGACAGGGAGGGAGGAGGAGAGGGAGAAAAAGAGAAGAAAAAAAGAAATTCAACAAGGAGCTATTAGAGGTCCACATTTCTAACAAAAACCATTCTTCTTGTGGTTTAAAGTTCTAAGTCAGAGAAACCACTGGACAATAATCTGTTCAAGATTTCTCTGCCAAGTGAGAAGTGGCCTCAGATAAATCATTTATCCTCAGTGCTCACAGGGCCCAAGGGACAGCACCCATTCTCACTTTCTTGGAGCACTGAGCAAACTCAGTAAACTGAGTTTAAAATATAAACTGGATGTAAAAGTAAGTGTGAAACAACACAAACTGTCCTTTTACCAATCAATTCTTTTTCCTTTTGGCTTCATGACTGACTATGATTATGTTCTATAGTTTTGAAAATCTCATAATCCATATCTCTGGTTTGTTTGGCATCTTTCTCTACCAAAAGCTGCTGCTGCTTTTCTTTCTGCTATTACAAAGTGTAGTTTTATTTTTGCTTTTTGTGATACGAGGGATTGAACCCAGGCCCTTCACATTAAGCTACAACTCCAGCATTTTTTTGTTCACCAGCCCTTTTTAAATATTTTATTTTGCGACAGTACCTTACTAAATCACTAAACTACCCAGGTTGAGCTCAAACTTGTGATCCTCCTGCCTCAGCCCCCAGAGTGCTGGGATTACAGGCAAGCACCACTCTGGGTTTCAGTGTTATACTTCTAAAACACAGTTTGGAAAAGAGCACAAAATATTTGACAAAAAGAGATAAATTATCTGAATGCTCATCTTTTCTGATAACCACAAATAGTTAAGAATTTGGAAAATTTATATCTACCAAAAGAACCAGTATCAATAATGTTAGACAATTACTAGGTTGTGTCTTCTGCCACCAACATGGCTGGATTAATGGAGCAATCTAGCAGACTCTTAATTCCCTAAAAGAAAAGGAAGAGGACCATCATTGGTTCTTTTTCCTTTGTGCCTCCTTTGCATCCCACCCCTCCATCTCACCTGGGGCTATTTTTCTTTCAAAAAGCAAAGTCTGATTCTATGCAAATGTTTAAAAAGTCCTAACCAAAGTCAACAAGAAAATGGAAAGACTCAGGGAAATGAACATGCTGTCTGCTAAGAAGAGAGGGAAGTTACACACCTGTCAGAGTATAGAGAAACTGCTCTTCTCCCTGCTCTACTTGGTTCCTTCTGTTGTCCAAAACCTTCTTGACAGTGTCCATTAGGCCAAATGTATGCGCTACATTGTTGAGAACAGCAGCATCTATTTAAAACAAAATACATGCCTGTAAAATTCAAACAGAAATGTTCCACCAGCTCCCTGTTTTCCTGCTTATAAATATGAAACAACCTAGAAATTATGGGACTCTCATTGCTTGTGTGTGTGTGTGTGTGTGTGTGTGTGTGCGCGCGTGCGCACGCACATGCACACATAAAGTACAGCCCAGCCTTTTTTTTTCCAACAGGGTCTCACTACGTATTGTTGGCTAGTCTTGAACTTACTATGTAGCCTAGGAAAGCCTCAAACTCAAGGTGATATTCCTCAATCAGCTGCCCAGAGTGCTGGGATTATAGGTGTTCACCACCATGCTCTGATTTTTTTAAAAAAAATATTGTCTCAAAGTTAGGCATGGTGTGCATGCCTGTCAACCCAGCACTTGGAAGGCTGAGGCAGGAGGATCGCTACAAGTTCGAGGGCAGCAAAGGCTATGTACTGAGTTCAAAGCCACCTTGAACTGCATTAGGGAAACTCAAAAAGCAACAACAAAAAGACTATTAAAAAGATAGTCTTACTAAGTTGCTAAATTATCTCATGCTGGGCTAGAATTTGTGATCCTCCTGCTTTAGTCTTCTAGAGTGCTGAGATTATAGGTGTGTACCACCAGGCCTGGCTCCTCACAGCATTTCATTGTTTTTTTGAGACAAGGTCTTGCTTTGTAGTGCAGGCTGACCTTGAACTCACTTGAGCCCAGCCTGGCCTCAAACTCATGGAAATCCTCCTACTTCAGCCTTTTGAGTGCTAGGATTATAAGGGTGCACCACCATGCCTGGCCTCACTGCATTTTAATATTATTTTCTACAAAGATTTACCACATGTATAACTAATTTTGTTTTAATTGTTACACCTTTATATTTCCATGTAAATAAATAAAAAAGAAATATCTTATATCTAGTTGTAAATTCTAATTTTAGGTTTAGAAAACATGATGACTGTACTGGATAGAGCTAAATTTGAATCTCAGTTTTGCTACTTTCTATTGTTGCTACTGTTTGAGTGCTGGGGACTGGACCTACGGCTTTAGCCATGCTAAACACTAGCTCTTGTTTTGCTACTTGAGGGGGTTTTGGACATTGAAATATAGGGGTGTTGTACCTCTGAGATATAATCCCATTCTTTTAATTTTTTTTTTTTTTTTTTTTTTTTGGTACCGGGGATTGAACTCGGAACCTTGCACTTGCAAAGCAGGTGGCGGAACCACTGAACTAAATCCCAGGCTTTTCTTTTTTTGAGACAGGATCTCGCTTTGTAGTTCATGCTGGCCCTGAACTCACTATGTAGCCCAGGCTGCCCTTGAACTCACGTCGATTCTCCTGCCTCAGGCCCTCAAATGCTGGGATTACAGTGTGTGCCACCACATCCGGGTTTTTTATTTTGAGACAGGGTCTCACTAACTTGCCCAGGGTGGTCTTGAAGCCGGGATCATAAGTATATACCTCAATGTGGTTAATTTTGCTACTTTCTATTGGTATGACTCTGTGTAAATCATTTCACTCCTCAGTTTTCTCTCTGGAAAGAGATGAATAAGGCTATTATGTTTTGTGTTTTTTTTGGGGGGGGTACCAGGGATCTAACTCAGGATCTTGTGCTTTTGAGGCAGGTGATGGAACCACTGAGCTAAGTCCCTGGACCAAGGCTATTATGTTTTTAATGTCAATCATGGTGACTGGACTCTGGTATTCCAGCACTCTGGGAGGCTAAGGCAGGAAAATTCTAAATTTGAGCCTAGTCTGGGCAATTCAGCAACTTAGCAAGACCCTGCCTCAAAATTAAAAAAAAAAAAATTTTTTAAGGGCTGGGATGTAGGCTCAGTGTAAAGGTCTGAGGTTCAATCTCTAGTAATGAAAAAAAAAAGAAAGAAAGAAAAGAAAGCATAGGGACTAGAATTCCATGTTTCCCCAAAAGGAAGACCTACTCAGAAAACATGTTCTAGCAAGATTTTAGAAGAGATATCCCCTGAATTAGCCCTATTGTGCTTTTGGAGCTTTAGGGATTTCTCTTCTAAAATCATGCTAGAACTCGTTTTCCTGGGAGATCTTATTTTTGGGGAAACAGGGTACAAAATTACTATTATAGTGTTATGCCTGTCCTCCTCTACAAAACTTGCTAAAAGAGTTGTCAGTATTTGTGGTCATTATTTACTTTCTTTTCTTTTTTTGGTACCGGGGATCAAACTCAGGGCCTTGTACTTGCAAGGCAGGCGTGCTGCCACTGAGCTAAATCCCCAGCCCGATTACTTACTTTCTTAACTCAGACCACTTCACTTATACCATGAACATCTCACTCAGTTCTACAGTTTTTGAATGGGGGTCTCACACTGGCTCCAAAATCCTGTGCTCAAGTGATCCTCCTGCTTCAGCCTTCCAAGTAGCCAGGACTACAGGCTCACTCTACACCACTGTGCCCAGCTCTCTGGTTTTAAATAACATGTAGTCAATGCTAAGAACTCCCTCGTGTAATTCTACAGCCCTAACTTCTTCCTTGTTTCCACATACTTCTAACTGATCTCCATTGGAAAATCTCACAGCCATCTCAACTGAACATATCAAAAACTAATTTTAACTTACTCTAAACCTGTTCCTTCCCTGATGGTTTTCATCTCAATAAATGACATCAACATCACCATAGATAAGGCCCTGGGTTTAATCCCCAGCACCCCAAAAAAAAGAGGAGAAAACAGTAAATAAATGGCTTACCACTCAGCTCAGGTCAAAAAGTTATGAATTATCCTGCATGTCTTTCTTTTCCTTTCATACCACATCTAATCCATCAGCAAAATTTGTCAGTTCCATATTCACTTGATCTTAGCCAAAAGGCTGAGAAACGATGTCAGTTCCATATTCAAAATACATTTCCTCAGCAGGTACAGTGCCACATACCTGTAGTCTCAGCTACATGGGAGGCTGAAGCAGGACTGCAAGTTCTAGGCCAGCCTAGGTTACTTAGTGAGATTCCATTTCAAAAAAGAACAAAAAATACACCCCAAATCTGATCATTTTCCAGGTATACCATTATCTACTCTGATAGATGTCACATCATTTCTGTTTGTTTTGAGACAGGATCTCACTGTATAGCCCAGTCTGGCCTCAAACTCTAGGTGATCCTCCTGCCTCAGCCTCCCTAGCACTGGGATTACTGATGTGTGCCACCATGCTGGGACCATGTCCCATCATTTCTTGCTTGCCTAATCTTTTTATTTTATTTATTTATTTATTTTTGGTACCATGGATCAAACTCAGGGCCTCGTGCTTGCGAGACAGGCGCTGGAACCACTGAGCTAAATCCCTGGCCCTTTGGACTAATCTTTTTAAATTGTCCAATGGTCTTTTTTTTTTTTTTTTGGTACCAGAGATCAAACTCAGGACCTTGCACTTGTGAAGCAGACACAGTGCCTCTGAGCTAAATCCCGGCCCTATTTTTTAGACAAGAGTCTCCCTGAATTGCCCAGGTAGAGCTGGGCATGGTGGCACCCGCCTGTAATCCCAACACTTGGGAGGCTGAGGCAGGAGGATCACCTGTAGCTTCACTCCAGCCTGGCCTACAATAGTAAATTCATGACCAGCCTGAACTACATAGTGAGATAAGAAAGAAAAGAAAGAAAGAAAGAAAGAAAGAGAGAGAGAGGGAGGGAGGGGGGGAGGGAGGGATGAAAGAGAGAAAGAGAGAGAGAAAAGAAAAGAAAAAAAATCTTAAAAATTGACCAGGCAGGACTCAAATTTGCAACCTTCCTTAACCAGGCATGGTGGCACATGCCTATAACCCCACCCCTTAGAGGCTGAGGCAGGATGATTGTCACAAGTTTCAGAGCAGCTTGGGCCCATAATGAGTTCCAGGCCAGCTTGAACTGTACAGTGAGACCCTGTCTCAAAAAACACAGCCAGGTGTGGTAGCATATGCTTGTAATCTCACTTCTCAGAAGGCTGAGGCAGAAGAACTGCCACCAGTTCAAGGCAAGCCTGAACTACATAGTGAGACACTGGCTCAAAAGAGAAAGAAACAAACAAACAAACAAAAAATGCACTTTTGAATGTGGAGCAAGTAACTTAACTTTTACAAGCCTCAGTTTTCTTCTCTGTATAATGGAGATAATGTCTGTACATCAGTGTTCTTGTGAGGCTAATAGGACTTGCCTACTGTTAGGAATACTCAATAAATGGCCACTATTGTTAGGGTCAGCACACAACACATACCTGTGACCTGGAAGGGAGCCTGGAGGAGCCGCTGTTGAACTCCCCTGAGTAGTTCCTCTATTTCCTTCTGGATATTGCAGACAACCTCTTCCATCAGCCCTACATCAGCAATTCCTTTCCAGAACATCAAAGTGTCCTCTGGCACAAGAGGGATAAGACAGAGGTAAACAAAGGATGCCAACGAGATACCTAGGCACATCTCTACAATGTTAAATCGGAACTATTTCAGTTCAGAAAGATTTTTTTTTTTTGGTACCAGGGATCAAACTCAGGACCTTGCGCTTTCGAGGCAGGGAGGCAGGCGACAGATCCACTGAGCTAAATCCCTGGCTCCCAGAAAGATTTCTTGTTAGGCCATTTTTGAGCAAAGGAAAGCAATTTTGGGAACTCTTAATTGCCTCCCTGAGTTGCTACCTAATTAGTTGGCCCTTTTGGACTTTCAGGGGCTTGGGATGATTGTTCAATCTGTCGTGCCCTCAATTTGTTATGGCTCCAGCTATAAAAACAGACATGCTCGTTCACTAAAAACATTAAGTTAAATCTTAAACAAGCATTAAATATTAAATATGTGATTAAATTCAAATTTAATTTGAACTATATAATATTTCCTATTATAAAACTTAGATAATGAAGATATTAAAGTAAATACTAATTAAAAGATATACTAATTAAAAGATATATACTATATCTTTTATACTTAAGAAAAAAAAACTATTTGGACAGAGACGGCTATAAGCTCCCTGCAGGTGGTGGCTATGTACCTAGCTTCTAGCAACACAGCCAACCAAAAAATAGGCAATGATAAATATTAATCTAATAGGGCCGGGGATTTAGCTCAGTGGTTCCGGGGCCTGCCTTACAATTACAAGATCCCGAGTTCGATCCCCGGTACCAAAAAAGAAAAAAATTAATCTAATAAATAAGCAGAGGATGATATGGACCTCTTCTGGTCCCCTTTAAGTGGATCATTAATTATCATTCTCTATACCACCTGCTACCTAGTTTTCCTTCTTACATCTTGAAGCTTGGTTTACCTAAGAAATGTGCCAAAGTTGGGGTTAGTTTGATAGGAGAAAAAGCATGGACTACAGTTACACAGCTGAATTCAGTTCTAACACTTATTGGTGGTGTGACGGGTCTTAGGCAGCTAGTGAACCTTTCTGAATCCCAGTTTCTTCCTGTGTAAAATGTGACTTACTAGGGTGGTTACATGGATTAAAATAAAATGTTTGTAGCTATAGTTAGTATTCCCATGCATGAGAAAAACCAGCAAAAGTAATTAACGGGTCTTCTTTCTCTATAATCTAATGATGACAAGGATCAGAAAAGTCGTAACAGATCTGAGCTGCACAGGAAGGTACCTGAAATTTCCTCGGAGTCTTTCTTCACACCCTCCTCTGTGGCCATGGTGACAGCAGCAGTAAGCGCAGAGTTCCACTCCAGCCCTGCCTCTTCCATGCTCTCTTCTGAAATGGCAATCTGTGTGATGCCACCTAAGAGGAGTCCATTACATGTGCAGCTAGTGAATTTTAGGAGAGTCATCACCATCTTCTAGCTCATATCCCCACAGAGACCTTGTTATTCTAACACACTGACCTCTTGCCTGCAGGTCCGTATCTTAAAAACTAGATTCACAGGTAAGAGGGGATGAATATTGGATTTTCTAAAAAAAGCCTGCCTTAGAAAGGAATAGAAAGGGAAAGATAACATAAATCACAACAGGGCAATCTGCTTCCTGAACAGATGCTTTTTTTTTTTTTTTTTTTGGTACCGGGGATCGAACTCAGGTCCTTGCGCTTGCGATGCAGGCGGTGGAACCACTGATCTAAATCCCCGGCAAACAGATGCTTTTGAAAGAGCCCGAAGGCATAGTTGCCAGGCTGCCCACTCAGGCTTACCGACGGTGAGAAGGACATGAAATAATGCTTTGCCAGAAGCCCTACTATAAACACATTCAACACTAAGAACCTAAAATGTATGAAGTTGCTATGTTTTATAAAAGACCCATGAACAACAGATTCACAGAGGAAAAGAAAACCTTTACTATTGTCTGTGGAGATTTAAAACAAAGAGAATTGAGAAGAGTCAAACTGATCCAGACAGACAATGTAAACTCTGCACTTGAAGATATTAATAAGCTAACAAAGGAATAATATTAATACAGATAATCAAGTAAAGCAGTTTTGGCCAAAGAAAAATGAATTATTTCAAAGCATTTTTCACTTTTCAAGTGAAAGAATCAAGTTTCTAAACTACTAGGTATTTTATACTTCCTGAAGGGGATTTAGATTACAAGAGATTTGGGGCTGGGGAGTTAGCTCAGTGGTTCCGACGCCTGCCTCGCAACCGCAAGGTCCCGAGTTCAATCCCAGGTACCAAAAAAAAAAAATAGATTACAAGACATTTAACATGTACTCACTCAGTGGTTAATCAGAAAATATTAGGGCTGGCCAAATATTGTGTGTGTGAGGGGATAACTGCAGATTGAACCCAGGGCTTTCACACCAAGCTACATTCCCAGTCCTTTTTTATTTTAAGAAAAGGCCTAAGTCACTAAGTATATGATCATTTTTTAAGCATAGTAATTCCCTAACCTTTTAAATCCTCATTGAGCATTTTTGTGACTCTCTGTTGGATATATTTTAAGTTTTGGGGTTTTTTTTTTGAGGTACTGGGGATTGAACTCAGGACCTTGAGCTTGCAAGGCAGGCACGGTGCCACTGAGCTAAATCTCCAGCCCTATATTTTAAGCTTTACAACAGTATTTGATACATCTTTTTTTGTTGGGGACAGCATCTCACCATGTAGCCCAGGCTTGGTCTTGAACTCACACTCTTCCTGCCTCAGTCTCCAGAGTGCTGGGATTGCAGGTGTATACCATCATGCCCCACTATTTGAGACACATTTTATCCAGCTGTGGTGTGGCTTCAGCTGGACCGACTGAATCTTTTAATATAATCTCTCACATGGTGACATCCTTGCTAGATGATAAGGAGGAGGAGCCCTAGACTTAAGCTCAACAAGCCTGAAACTAAGTGTGCGCCCATTCTTTTCTTTCGTCAGGAAGTCTCAGTTTGGCAATCTGGACCCACTCAGGCAGAGTTCCCTGATCCTTACAGAGCAGCTCCATAGTCCAGCCAGGCAATGGTACATGGTCTCTGATACAGCTGGAAACCAGTTGTCAGTCTGATCTGCCTTCCTATCCTGACCACTGCAGGAAAAAGGATTTTCAAAACAGTCTAATTTCAACCTTGATATGACAAGTGGCATCCAAGTAGGATCACTGCATATGCATTAAAAATACTAAACATCTTTTTAATGCTTACCATGTGTTCTAAAAAAACAAGGAAGGAAGGCTGAGGATGCACCTTAGTGGTAGAATGTTTGCCTAGCATGTACAAGGTCCTGGGTTCCATTCTCAGTACCACAAAACAAAGGAAACAAACAAACAAACAAAAACCAATCCTGGGCCGGGGATTTAGCTCAGTGGTTTCCCAGCCTGCTGTGCAAGCACAAGGACCCAAGTTTGATCCTGGTACCAAAAAAAAAAAAAAAACCAATCCCCAGGACCAAAAAAACCCCACAAACAACCTCATAAGAAAACAAGATCTGGGGCTGGGGATTTAGCTCAGTGGTTCCGTCGCAAGCGCAAGGTCCCGAGTTCCATCCCGGTACCAAAAAAAAAAAAAAGAAAAAGAAAACAAGATCTGTCCAATAAGAATTACTTAAGAGGTTGGGTTTGGTGGCATAAACCTGTAATCCCAGTACTCAGAAGGCTGAGGCAGGAGGATCACTGCCAGTCTGAGATCAGCCTGGGCTACCTAGTGAGTTCAAGGCCAGTCTGAACTACTTAGTGAGACCCTGTCTCAAAAAAACAAAACAAAAAAATTACTTAAACTGGGAGGGCGGGGTGGGGGTGGGGGCTGGTATCTGTTTCTGAAGCATAGACTCCCACACAAAATCACCATACCTTCCAAGGTAATACTCATAAAAAGTGAAATTAAGGGCCAGGGATTTAGCTCAGTGGTTCTGTCGCTTGCCTTGCAAGCACAAGGACCCAAGTTCGATCCCTGGTACCAAAAAAAAAAAAAAAAAAAAAAAAAGAAGAAGTCAAATTAAGAAACACCAGAGAGAAATAAGGGGGAAAGTGCTGTTCAAAAACACAGCAGGTTTTCAGGTGGTTTCCTACCCCCTACCATCGGCCGAAGTGGGTGTCTGCACCACACTTGTCTGCTGTCCTGGCACTGGAGCTCGTGCGCTGCTAATCAGAAGATCAAATTTGGTGCTTCTGCAGGTATTGGAGCACACTTTGTCATGCTGGTAAAAATCAATCTGTCCGGAGTCCATCATTTTCCTGTAAAGGGAGACAAAAAGTATCAGATCAGCCTGCACTCCAAGGGAGAACTAGGACACCACAGAGACAACTCTACAGATGAGCGAGATCTAACAGAGGTCACTGGGTTGAACAACTTATATTTGAGACTATCAGTTTTTCACTGGTCCTGCCCACATGTATCAGTACTCCTCTTTTCTTCTGAGTTAACTCACTGTGTTGTGAGTACTCTCTTCTACTTGATGCTATCACTAGGCTTCAAGTATGCAATCAGAATGTCACAGGATGCTGGGCATGGTGGTGCACGCCCTGTAATCCTAGCACTTGTAGGCTAAAACAGGAGTTCAGGGCCGGAGATTTAGCTCAGTGGTTCTGCTGCCTGCCTTGCACACACAAGGTCCCGAGTTCAATCCCTGGTACCAAAAAAAAAAAAAAAAAAGACAGGAGTTCAAATTCAAAACTAGCCTGGGCTACATAGTGAGTTCAAGGCCAGCCTGAATTATATAGCAAGACCCTGTCTCAAAAAATCAAAATAATAATAATAATATTAATAATAATAAGGGTGTCACAGGATGACACTGAAACCAAACCTAAAAGAGAAAACAGGAACTCATATCTCTGACTTTTATTTATTTATTTATTTTTTGGTACCAGGGATCGAACTCAGGACCTTGAGCTTGTGAGACAGGCGCCAAAACCACTGAGCTAAATCCCAAGCCCCAGGAACTCATATCTCAGCACACGTGAGAAATGCCTCAAGGGAAATTAGAATTTTGTGATGAGATTCTGGTGTATTCCTAGAACTGCAAGAGCTGTTGCCACTTTTAGAGATTTAATGCTTCAATAGTTTTTTCCCCCAGTACTAGGTACTGAATTGAGGGCCAGGGAAGTACTCCCATACCAAGCTACACCTCCAGCCCCTTTTAGTTTTTATTTTGAGACAAGGTCTCACTAAGTTGCTGAGGCTGACCTCGAACTTGCCATCTTCCCCCCTCAGTCTCCTAAGTAGCTGGGATCATAGCACCCAACTTCACTAGATTTCTTCCATTAAAAAAAGAAAACAGAGGGCTGGGAATTTAGCTCAGTGGCATAGGTCGAGTTTGATCCCAGCATCAAAAAAAGAAAACACAGCAGGAAGTGGTGGTACACACGCCTAGTCCCAACACATGGGAGATGGAGGTAGGATGGTGAGTTCAAAGTCAGCCTAGACTACATACTGAGTTTAAGGCCGCCTGGACAGTTTGAGGCCCTGTCTCAAAAAATAGAAAGAAAAAAGAAAAAATAGGAGTTGGAGATGTAGTTTAATAATAGAACACTTGCCTGCCATATTCGAGGCAGTTTGATCCCTATCACCACAAAAAATAAAGAAATGAGGCTGGGGATTTAGCTCAGTGGGGCTGCCACCTGCCTTGCAAATACAAGGTCCTGAGTTTGATCCCTAGTACCAAAAAAAAAGGAATAAAAAATTATATTAAAAATTGATAACTATTCTCTTAGAGAGCAATGTTGACTATACTAAAGCTTCTCTAGAAAATATCCTTATAAAACTGCATCCATAAGACACTGTTATAATAGGACATGAACAAAACCATAGGGTATTTTAATTATAGTAAACTCTATGTTACAGTGTCAGTTGGCTTTCACTAAAGCTTTTTTGTTCTTTTTTTTGGTTTTTTTGAGACAGAGTCTCTCTATGTATTTTAGGCTAGCCTTGAACTCACTATGTAGCCCAGGCTGGCTTGAACTCATGGTGATTCTCCTGCCTAAGCCTCCCCAGTGCTACAGGCATATGCCACCATGCCTGGTTCATTAAAAATTTTTTTAGGGGGCAGGGGATTTAGCTCAGTGGTTCTGCCGCCTGCCTCCAAAGCACAAGGACCCGACTTCGATCCCCGGTACCAAAAAAACAAAACAAAACAAAACAAAACAAAAATTTTTTCAGGCATTCTGATACCTTTTCACATTTGGGAAAAACTGACACATACTTGTCTTTTAGGGAGATAAAACAGGCCAAGAACAAAAATGAAAAGTAAAGATATTCCTCCTCAAATCATTCTCACTGCCTGAACCCAGTCTTTCATTTGCTAAGCATGCTCTCTTAGCACTAAGCTCCAATTAAAAAAAAAATTATGTATCTCTGACAACAAAATAACATGTGAGGAAGACATTTAACATTTTCTGTGGAAAATATGAAAAATTATAGCTGACTGTGTTGGTGCACACCTATAATCCTAGCACTTGGGAGGCTGAAGCAGGAGGATCACCATGAGTTTGAGCCCAGCCTGGGCTACATAGTGAATTCAAGGTCAGCCTGAATTACATAGGAAAACCTTGTCTCAAAAAACAAACAGAGCCAGGGATGTAGCTCAGAGGCACAGCGTCTGCCTGCCAAGCGTGACCAGTACCAAACAAACACACAACCAAGAAAACAACTGCCCTTTAAATAATTTCCCACACAATATCAAAGTTTTAGCATATTTTCTGCCATTAAATTTTACTTTTTCTGTGTCTATTTTGTTTTTTGTTTTTTGGTTTTTTTTGGTACCAGGGATTGAACTCAGGTCCTTGCGCGTGAAACCACTGAGCTAAATCCCTGGCCCTAGTTTTGTTTTTTGAGACAGGGTCTCACTATGTAGTTCAGGCTGACCTTGAATTTACTATGTAACCCAGGCTGACCTTGAACTCACAGGGACCCTCCTGCTTCAACTCAAATAATGGGATTACAGGCATGAGCCACCACACCCAGCCCTGTGTGTCTATTTTAACACTGCTAAAATCACAGTACTTAGTCAACTTCTCTTTTTCTTTTTTTTCTCAGTATAAAGATTGAAGCCAGGGCCTCACATACACTAGACCAATGCTATGCCCCTGAGATACATTCCCAGTCTGATTTGGTCCATTTTTGTTGTTCCTCTCGAGACACAATCGTACTACAGGCCAGCCTTGAAATACTTCATTGCCCAGATTAGCCTCAAACTCATAATTCTCCTGCCTCAGCTTCCTGACTATTGGGATCATAGATGTGTGCCACCATATCCAACTCTGGTTTAGTCAGTGTTATACTTGTTTTATACATATTATATCATAACATTTTTCCATGTAAAAATTCTTCAGAAATAATTAATGATTGCAAAATAACCCTTAATATATACTCATATATATTTAGACGAGCCGTAATTTACTTTAGAAGTCCCATTAAGGCAGTAATTTTCATCATAATAATGTTGCATTGAACATTTTTATGCTTGAATCTCTACAAGCATTATAGATTTATCTTAAGATAGGTAACTTTAAAAAAGACAAAGAGTGGGCTGGGGATTTAGCTCAGTGGTTCCAGTGCCTGCCTCGAAAGTGCAAGGTCCCGAGTTCGATCCCTGGTACCAAAAAAAAAGCCTTCAACCTAAAAAAGACAAAAGATTTTTTTTTAAATCTTTACATTCTTTTATTGGAGCAAGATTCCCAACCAGTATACAGTGATGTATTACACACTATCCATCTAGACAGGTTAGGGTTACACTTTGCCTACTGATGGGATAGTCCCATTTATAAAGTTTTATACATCAAAAAGCTTTGAATTTGACTAGGCTGTCCATTAATTCACCTCTGAAAAAGTGACGTTTAATTTCAGCTCTATTTTACAGCAGTAAAAAACTTATGCATTAAGAAGCCTGTTACTCTGCACAGCGGCTTTGAGCAGAGTCCACATCCCACCCAGATTCACACAGTGGCATCTCAATTTTCTCCTAGATCCCTGGAGACCCTAACCCTCGAGCACCCCTTCCCTGGCTGCAGTCACCAGTGCACCAGGCCTACGTGAGGGTGGCAGAGGATGTGCCTATCACATCCAGGTACACAGAGGCCCATTTTAAGAGCTGCCGATTGGAGGTAAGAAGGTTACAACTGGAACTCAGCTCACTCAGATCCTGGTACCTCAAGTGACGTATTTTCAGAAACACTGGCAAACTGTATGTACCCGTCCACAGCTACGGAGACTTTAAGACACTGATTCAAATCCCTTTACCCCATCCGTATAACCCTGAGGTCTTCCTGGAAAGTGCGATATCAAAAAATATGGAGTTAGGTGACAAAGGTGGCGTTGTTACAAGTCAAGCTTGGAAGGCCCTCCATTCTGAGAGAAAACATCAAACTCTTCGCGTACACATGTAGTGTTATTGTAACAAAGCAACTTGTACACTTTGAACATTTAAAACTGCGCATCACCTTTTCCTTTCCAGTGAAAACAAAAAGGAATTTAAAAATAAACCAACAAAATTACAATAGAGAATGTCAATTCCAAGTAAGACCCTATAGGTTCTGCTGATTCTCCCATCAAGTGGCAGGGCTCAAGTCATCATTAGGAGAGGATTTTATTTTAAAAGCATCATCTTAAACTCCAAGGATGTCTGTTAACATCACAATTAAACATGCCAAAGGAGAAGCCATGTAAGACAAAAGATATTTTTAAGACCCTTGAGTATCTGTTCTACGGGAAATTTGTAATTCTTTTGTGTGTGTGTGTGTGTGTGTGTGTGTGTGTGTGTGTGTGTGTGTGTGTTTTGTGGGGGGTTTTGTAATTCTTTTTTGTCGTTGTTGTTTTTGGTACTGGGGATCAAACACAGGACCATGTGCTTCCAAGGCAGGCACAGTGCCATTGAGCTAAATCACCAGCCTAGAAATTTGTAATTCTTAAAAACATTGTAAATTTTTCTATCAGAAGGTGACAGTTCAAAGAATACCAACTAATATTAACTTTGAAGAGGGAAAGATTACCTTGGTAAACTTGTTAACAAAGAGGGCTGAGGCTTGAGAACATTAAATGTTCTGACATTTATCTCTGCAGTGGCAAGGATTGCATTTGCTGCACATAACTGTTATTTCCCAACAGCACCCTTCTAGTTTACCAGATTATTCCCAGACTTATCTGTCAGTCAGCCTACAATTCTCCATGATTCTTACACTTTCTTAGCACCTGGCTTTGCCCTATCCCTGCCTGGTGATTTTTAGCAGTTCTGTCATCTACTCTGAGCTTCTCTAGCAAGAGAGGATCTGACCCAGCATCTTGAAATCAGAAAAATTTGCCCTAGATCAACTTAATCTTCTGTCTCTCGCAGCAATTTTTAGATAAACTAAGGGCTGGGAATGCAGCTTAGTGGTAAGAGTGCCTGTCTCACATGCATAAGGTCCTAGGTTTGCAATGGGGAAAAAATACACAAAGAGAAAGATTAAGAGAACAAGTTGAAAAAAGAAGAAACAAGCTGATGGTCAAATAAAGGATGGAGCCCTCAAGGTGGCACACACCCACAATCCCAGTACTTGGGAGGCAGGGGCAGCAGGATCATCCCGAGTTTAAGGGCAGCCTGGGCTACATAAAGAGACTCTAACTCAAAATAAATAAATAAATAAATAAATAAGCAAGCAAGCAAGTTGGGCCAGGTGGCACACCCCTGTAAACCGAGCACTAAGAAAGCTGAGGCAGGAGGATCATCAGTAGTTCGAGGCCAGCCTGGACTACAGATATACATACATTAATTAATAAATAAAAAATAAATAAGTAACATAATGCATGGAACGCACAAGGCAATCCTTCACACAAATGTCAAGTTAAAAAGAAAAGACTGGATTCTACCATGATTAAGTACCCCAAAGTTTATTGGAAGGTATATGCTTGCCTCTAGTGCTTACCTGAGCATGATTCCACCCAAACGAATGGCTCTCTTCCAGTCCTTCAGAGTGGACTTGCCAGCCAGATGAACAAAGTGCTTGGGGCTAATCAGCTGATCATTGAACTAAAGTAAAAGGAAAAGTCCAAAGTAGTCCAATGTCAACTTGGGCAGGTCAAGAAAAAGAAGGAAATGATAACTACACTTGTTATATACAAAAAATACCCAAACAAAATTGCACTTTTGTTGTTTTATTTTTTGAGACAGGGACTCAATATGTAGTTCAGGCTGACCATGAACTCCTGGCAATCTTCCTGCGTCAGCCTCCCCAGTGCTGGGATTATAGGCATGTGCTACCACACCTGCCACAAAACTGTAATTCTTATACAACTTCTTTCTGCCAAGGATGATCCTTCTCTGAGCACAGTGCTCTTTCCTAACACAAAGCTACAGAACACACGAGGAGGCTCAGAGATGGTAATGATCAGCATCTACAGTCCACTTACACCCTCATTCAGGTGGCAGGGTCTAGCATTGAAAAGGTTAATCAAATAGCTAGGGCAGATGGTGCACACCTGTAATCCCAGCACTCAGGAGGCTGAGACAGGAGGATCACCATGAGCTCAAGGGCCCTCCTGAGCTACACATGGAGACCCTGTCTCCCAAAAAAAAAAAAAAAAAGTGATCAAATGAACTGAAATAATCTATTTAGCCCTAATGATAAGATTCAAGGTGGCTGAAAGAACAAGTACAGAGGAAATCAACCTGAAAACTATAATTCTTTTTTAAAAAAACTATAATTCTTATTAATCTAGGGTGTGCCATTATGCAGAGGAGTACCTATTGACACAGCTGTGGCCGCCAACGGAGACAGAACAGTTATTTCCATATTATCCTCTCATGAAGATTACTTTTTTATCAGAATTTTTTTTCCCCCCGGTACCGGGGATCACACTCAGGACCTTGCACTTGCAAGGCAGGTATGGCGCCACTGAGCTAAATCCCCAGCCCTGAATAAATGCTACCACAATTCATGCCAGTGTGTATAAATGTATATATGCATGCGTGTGTGTGTGTGTGTGTGTGTGTGTGTGTGTCTGTGTATAAATTACTCTTACTATTTAAACATATGAGGCTCTGAAATATTAAATAACTTGGCTAAGGTCACCCAGTTAGTGACAGAGATGGGATCCCATTCATTCATTCATTGAACAAATATTTACTGATCACTATGAAAAAAGGAGGAAAAAAAAGCAACATTCTATGTGCACAGTTTATACTGGTGACTAAAAAGACGAGTTCCCTATTCTTATAGGACTGCTATTCTAGTGGGAGTTAAATCCAGGTCAATCTCACTTCAAAATCTTTTTTTTTTTTCTACTCTGAGTGACACAATAGAACAATAGCTGTAAAATTAAAAACACTGATTTGAGGCTGGGAACGTTTGCCTAGAATGTACAGGGCTCTGAATTCAATCCCGTGCACTATAAAAAAAAAAATTGATTTGGTAGAAGAGAGGAAAGAAGCCCTGCAACAACGCTTTTGAAAACAAGGAGCCCCAAGAGAGGCCTCAGCCAGAAGACAGTTACCTTGACACACTTCACATTTATTCCTGGACACACAAACTTCTTCCAGAGGAGGATGGCTTTGCTCTCCCCACAAGTTATGGGGTAAGCAATTTCCATGTCCTCATTTGCTTCTATAGTACTTGCATCTGAAAATGGAAAAAAAGTCAGTTATTTATTGCACAAGATTTCCCCAAAGCTCAGATTTCAAATTTCTAATTCTCTGGTTCCTCTGAGAAACTGACAGGTCACTCTTGCTGTTATTGTTTAGGATCCTCTGGAAGAAGTTTGGCAGAACAGTTGTGTCTTAGCAAGCTCCCACTACATACTAGAGAGGACATTATCTGCTTTTACATGTGGAGTAGTGTTTAGTTCTTAGAATAATCTTGGAAGGTAGTAATTGTTTCTTGTGTTTTACACAGAAGTATTTAACCTTGGAAAGATAAGCAACTTTACCAAGGACACACAGCTAAGAAGTGGGAAAGGAGGATTCAAATTCAAACTCAGGGTTTTTTCAGTTTCTTCCCACTGACAGCCAACACTTACCAGTGCTCACTGACAACTTCCTTAATGACAGCCTCAACCTTGAGGCTCCAATTTCTTTGTGGGATTTTTCTTTTTTTTGCACTAGGGATCAATCCCGGGCCCTCACACATTCTAGGCAGTAAATATTTATTTACCATAAATATTGTGGAATATTTATGATAAAAAAAAAATCTTTCCAGGCCAAGTGTGGTGGTCCGCACTTGAGAGGCAAAGGCAGGAGCACCTCCATGAGTTTGAGGCCAGCCTGAACTATGAAGCAAGACCCTCTCTCTCTCAAAAAAAAAATCTTTTCAGCTACCCTAGCAAATCGCTATTAAACAATACAGTGACAGCTCTCACACTTCAGTAGTGTCTCTAGAAGTGCCACAATCAAATCGATGGTGCCTTCAAATCGAACGCACACCAGGGATGGGGGAAGACAAGAAGGCATAAAAAGCAAGAAATCTCAGGCTGGTGGTGTAGCTCAGTGGTAGAGTGCTTGTCTACCATGTGCAAGGCCTTGGGTTCTATCCCTAGCACCAAAAAAAGACAGAAAGAAATCTCAACCAAAGAAACTAAACAACAAAGACTTACCAATTCCTTCTTCAATTTTGTGTATTGTGTGAGTTTCTACTGCTACAACTGCCGTATTGTTCTCCGACCCAGGTTCATAAATCCTGTTGTAAAAGTGTCCATCGATAAACAAACTACATGAATCATGAGAAAATTAATATTCACAACATGGGGTTAAGAAATTTGTTTTAATCTATCTCAAAGGAATAAATAAATAAATACACTTTAAGCTGGGTATGGTGGCCCATGCCTTAATCCTAGCACTAGGGAGGCTGAGGCAGGCAGTCACTGCAAGTGTGAGGCCAGCATGCACTACAAAGTGAGTTCAAGGCCAGCCTGAATAACATAGTGAGATCCTGTCTCATAAAACAAACAAACAATAAATACACACATACATACACTTTAGAACTCTATCTTAATGTTTTAACTAGTTTCTCATTCTATGTATATATGTATGTATTTCTGTGGTACTGGGGATTGAACCATGGATCTTTGTACTGAGCTACATCCCCAGCCCTTTTTTATTTTGAGTCGGGGTCTTGCTAAGTTGCTCAGGCAGGACTCAACTTGCAATTCTCCTGGCTCAGCCTCCTGGAGTACTGGGATTATAGGTATAGACCATCACTCCTGGCTATTTTAACATCTTTTAAGTCATCATACCCAAATTATTGATATGAAAAAAGTCTACTAGGAAAAAAATAAGAGACACTATACCCACAGTAACCAGCAGTAAGCAAAAGTACCACTTAATGGAAGGTTATATAATGCAGAACACCTTAAAATGTCTCTAATGGGCTCAGACAATTTAGCGTGATATACTGGTGTCCTCTCTTTAATTTCTATAATAAAACCAATATGTTAATTCTTGCACCTCGTTACTTCAAAGCACTGCCTAAATAATCTTTGCATTGATGACATCCACCTCCCTGCTGACACCTACAGCACAGATTTCTCTTTTGAGAGCACCAAATCCTAACCACTAGACCACCAGAGAGCATCTGGACCTCTCTTAAATGTTACACCAGGACACAGCTAACTGCTGTGTAGATAAATATATCCAGATGTTCCATGAGACTATTAAGTTCATTATGTCTAAAATAATCAGTGGTGCCTCATAAGCGCAAGATCCCAAATTCAATCCTTGGTACCAAAATATAAATAAATAAATAAATAAATAAATAAATAAAATAATCGAATTATTATCATTAGGATTAAACAGAAGGGAGGAAAGAAGGGGTGGAGGGAGGGAGGCAGGGAAGGGAAAAGTGAAATTGTGGGGATAATTTAAAGTCAATCTACAGTTAATATGAAAGTATCATTTTATACAAAAAGTATCACCTTGGGCTGGGGATTTAGCTCAGTGGTTTCACTGCCTGCTGTGCAAGCCCAAGGACCCAAGTTCGATCAACAGTATCAAAAAAAAAAAGTATCACCTTATACAACCTGTCAGGTTCTATATGTACACATGGGGAGACAGTTACCAGTCTACTTTTGCTCTGTAGTTCAGGCTGGCCTTGAACTCACTATGTAGCCCAGGCTGACCTCAAACTCAGGTGATCCTCCAGCCTCAGCCTCCTGAGTGCTGGAATTATAGATGTGCGCCACCACCCCCCGGCCAGACTGTGTACTTTTGCTGCCTAATGTATTCCTGCAAACATGTACATAATGCATATGTAAAAGCTAAAAAAGACACGTAAGGGGAGTTCTGTATATTGAAAACTAAACATTTACATAAAATCTCTAACTTCTTGCCTTTTTTATAATCTTCAACATATGCCAAGAATTTTCCCTGTGTTCCTTGAGTGTTTCTTTCCTTCCCACCTGAACCCAAAGCCACTCAGGTTAAGCATGACCATGGCTCAACCCTGGCACCTGATATTACCCATCTTTGTCTCAAGTACATGAAACTTATGAGATGAGACCTATACAACTTATAACACTGCTTTTGTTCCCCCACTCCTTTTCATAAAATGAGGCTAAAATGAAATAAAATATTCAAATAATTAGATAATACAACTAGCGAAATCAACTGAGCATTATATTGGCCAGGCATAGTCATGCGTGTCTATAATCCCAGCACTCTGGGAGCCTCAGGCTAAAGGATGGCAAGTTCGGGCCCAGCCTGGGCAACTCAGAGACTCAGTGAGACCCCCATCTCCAAGTAAAATATAAAAAAATGGTGGGGATGTAGCTCAGTGTGAAGATCCTAGGTTCAATCCTTATTACTATGAAAACAAAAAGGCATTATCTCATAATCAGCAGTCCATGTATTAAACTCAGAGTAAACAGTGGCTTGAGGAGTAAAATATGCATTGGAAAAAGATGCCTAATATCTAAATATAACATAAAAGAAGAAATTAAAGCAGGGCATAGTGCTGCACACCTATAATCCCCTGCAGGTAGGGTTGAGGCAGGAAGATTAAAAGTTTTCGCCCAGCCTGGGCAGCTCAGCAATTTAACAAGACCCATCTCAAAATAAAAAGTATTGGGCATGCAGCTCAGTGTGAACACCTTGTGTTCAATCCACAGTAATACACAGTAATACACACACATACACACACACACACACACACATACACACATGAACCCACACATACCCTAAGGAGCTAGGAATGTACCTGAGTGGTAAAGTGTTTGTCTAGTATGGGCAAAGCCCTAGGTTTGACTTCCAGCACTGAAAAAAAACTAAGACTATCAATAGCATAAACATTTTGTCTTTTTCTACTAGGACAAATGTCAACTGGAACACTTTTTTTTTTTTAAACAACTGGAACACTTTAAGAAAGATAGAAGATGGTAATGCACACCTACAATCCCAGCACTCGGGGAGCCTGGGCAGGAAGACTGCAAGTTCCAGCACAGCCTGGGCAACTTAATGAGACTATGAAAGCAAAAACTAAAAAAGGGTTGGGAATAGAACTCAATCCGAAAGCTCTGAGTTCAATCTCCAATACCAGGAAAGGAGGGAGGGAGGGAAGGAAAGAAATAAAGAGAGAAAAAAGGACTCCATGAGAAAATAAGGCTAAGACTGGGGATTTAGCTCAGTGGTTCCGCCACCTGCTTTGCAAGCTCAAGGATGCAAGTTCAATCCCCAGTACCAAAAAAAAAAAACCAAAAAAACAAAAAACCAAGAAAATAAGGCTGCCAGTCTACAGCCATACCACCCTAAACATGCCCAATCCCGATCTCATCTGATCTTAGAAGCTAAACAGGGTCAGGCTTGGTTAGTACTCGGATGGGAAAGAAAATAAGGCTGCCAATAACTAAAGAACTTATCCTTTAATCTATTTCTTCCTTATATACCAAAAGGTAACAACTGCAAGTGTGTATATGTGTGCTTAATAAATAAAATTTCCACCAGGCGCAGTGGTGTTGACCTGTAATCCCAGCACCTGGGAGGCTGAGCAGGAGGATTACTGTGAGTTCCAGGCCAGCCTGAACTACACAGTGAGACTTTATCTCAAAAAACAAAAAATAGGGCTGGGGATTTAGCTCAGCGTTTCTGACGCCTGCCTCAAAAGTACAAGGTCCCAAGTTTGATCCCTGATACAAAAAAATAAAAATAAAAATAAACAAAAATAAATAAAATAAATCATTTAAATCAATGGAGGTGGAGGTCTATCATAGTGGTAGAGTGCTTGCTTAGGGTGTGAGGCCCTGGGTTCCATCCTTACCACCAAAAATAAAAATAAACAAACAAATTTTAAATCACTTCACTGAATTTATGTCAGAAATTGTTTATACTGGGCCTGGAGTGTAGCTCATGATAGAGTATATGCTTAGCAGGCACAAGGCCCTGAGTTCAATCCCCAGCACCAAAAAAGAAATTATTTACCTCAATTTTCCCTTATAGATCTTATATTTCCTTCATATTTAACAATATTCCAAATGTCAGGGGTGGAGGAGAAGGGAAAAAAATATAATTGAGATGGGTGATGTACATGCACCAATTCACCACAATGAATGTAATCATTATGTTCTGCAAACATGTACTAATCAAAATTTTTTAAAATTAACAAATGTCAGGGCCGGGGATTTAGCTCAGTGGTGCCACGTATGCCTCGAAAGCACAAGGTCCTGAGTTTGATCCCCAGTACCAAAAAAAAAAATTCATATCAACAAATAACTCAGTTACATTAAAACTAAAATGTCCTTGTCTTTTTGAGATATATACTAATGTATAAGGTTTCCTTCAAAAAAAATCACAAGTGGGAAGACACAGAGATGAAATAAGATTGACCATGTGTCAATAACTGTTAAAAGTGGGGGATCATTATAGTTTATAAATTTGTATGAATATTTGAAATTTGACATACTAAAAAGGTTTTAGGATGTATTTATTTATTTACGTAGTACCAGGGATTGAACCCAGGGTCACACATGCTAGACCAGCCCTTTTTATTATTTATTTATTTACAAGGCCTCACTACGTAGTTCAGGCTTGCTTGCTTTGAACTTATGTAGCCAAGCCGGCCTTCAGCTCTTTTTTCGGGGATCGAACCTGGGACCTTGTGAGGCAGGCAGCGGCACCACTGAGCTAAATTCCCGGCCCTGGCCTTCAACTCTTCACAATTCTCCTGCCTCAGCATTCCAAGTGCTGGAATTACAAGCATGTGCCACCATGCCCGGCTCTTTTTATTTTATTTTGAGATATGATCGTGATAAATTCCCCAGGTTTGCCTGAAACTTTCTTTTTTGTTATTGGTGTTTTGTTTTGTTTTTAGTTTTTTGAAACAAGGTCTTGCTTTGCAACTCAGACTGGCCTTGAACTGACTACTTAGCCCAGCCTGGCCTCAAACTTGTGGCAGTCCTCCTGTCTCAGCTTCCTGAATGCTGGGATGACAGGCATGCACTAGCATGCCTGACTAGCATTCTGTTTTTTATTTTTATGTATTTATTTATTTTGGTACGGGGGATCAAACTCGGGTCCTTGCGCTTGTGTAGCAGGCGGCAAAACCACTGAGCTAAATCCCCAGCCCTCGTATTCTGTTTTTTAAATTCACACAGCTGCCACTAAACTACACTCCCAGCACTATTCTAAATAGTCTTTAAACATTATCAAAAGAATCAACTGGGCGCATAGCTCAGTTGTAGAGTTTGTGCATAACATGCAAAAGGCCTTTGGGTTAATCTCCAGTGTAGAAAAAAAAATTACCAAGAGAAATGAACTCTTTCTCCAAAAATGTAAATAAAAGACATGACACATTACTTAGATTAAGATCAGAGTATGTGTTGGCCCAGGAACATTGCTAATCCTATGAAGAATCTTCTACATAGTGCCCAAAATAGAACTACCCCTTCTCTCTACAAATCTAATTTTTTTTTCATTAAGTTTATTCGCACATTTTAGGTATACAATACAGATACATTCATCATTGGGATCTTGTACCTTTACATGATGTATCTTGGTTCTTATTTTTTCCCCATTCCCCTGCCCAAATCTAATTCTTATTTATTCTTTAAGATCCCTTTTTAAATTTACTCTCTTAGTGCTGATAATACAGCTCATTGGTAGCATGTGCCTGCCACACACACCGTCCAGATTTGATCCCTAGCACCAAACAAATAAATAAGACCAGGCATGGTGGTGCACGCATTAAGGAGGCTAAGGCAGGAGGATCCCAGCCTGGGCTACATAGTGCGTTCAAGGGCAGCCTGAATTACACAGTGAGACCATGTCTCAAAATCAAAAATAAACAAAGATTTCTATCTCAACTTCCAGATTAAGGTCTTTTTTTTTTTTTGGTACTGGGGATTGAGCTGGGGTCCTTGCGCTTGCACAGCAGGTGGCGAAACCACTGAGCTAATTCCCCAGCCCTATCTCAACTTTCAAATTCACAGTGATCTTCTAAACTCCAAAGCACTTCACAACTATGCCAGCTCAGCACTTCTTAGATTCTGCCACGGAACCAATCACTTTATTTATGTATATGTATTTTAGGTTTTTATAACTAGACTGTAAACCTCACAGTGATGAGAACCTTTTGCTGTATTTCTTCCAACTTCCATCTTCATAATACAATGCATGTGTATATATTTTTCTTTTTGGGTATTAGGAGGGATTGAACCTAGGGCCTTTGCACTGAGCTACAGCCCTTTTGAAATTTCTTTTGAGATAGCATCTCACTAAGTTACTAAATTGTCCATGCTGGATTCAGGATACTTCTGCTTCTGTCTCCCAGAGTGCTGGGATTATAGGTGTGCACCAACATACAGAGTTTGATCTATACTTTTTGATAGACTAAGCTTGATAATTTGGCCATCCATGAGCTAAGAGAACTACAGTAGAAGGTTTTTTCATGTTTTGTTTGTTTGTATATTTATTTTAGAGGTGCTTTTGTAGTTGCCTTGCCCAATCTCCTCTAATTCTATCTACACTGCCTTTGGGAAACATGGACTGAGGTTCTGTGCTAAATAGTGTACATAATTAAGATACCATAGCCAGACACAGTGCGTACTCCTATAACCCTAGCACTCAGGAGGTTGAAGCAGGAGAATCACTTTAGCTACACAGGAAGTTCAAGAACAGCCTAAACTAGTTCAATCCCTGGTACCAAAAGAAAAAAAAAAAGAACAGCCTAAACTGCCTAGGGAGACCCTGTCTCAAAAAGAAAAAAAAAAGCTCACTTGGTGTTTCACTACTTCCCTGCTTGCTGCTTTCTGACGGCTGTGAACTATTTCTCCTCTGCCACACTGCCCTGCCTAGGAGCACGCCAACTACGAACTGAACCTCTACAAACTGTGAGCTACTGTAAACCTTTCCTTCTTAAAAAAAAAAGATGTGAGAGCCACGTAACTTTCCCTAAGGAGCTCACAGTGGGGAGAAGGGGGGATACAAGGAAATAGGTAACTGCTGTAATAAGTGGTAAAATGACTAACACAAAAAACATTATCAAGATGAAAACTCAGCCACCTCTGACTGATGTTGAATGTTCCATTATGTATGCTAAGCAACCATAAAGTTAAAATTTCCCCACCCTTTAAACCTAAAATTTTTCAAAACACCCTAACCTCTAACCACTTACCCCTGCTGTACAGGTTGTAACTGCAAGATCACTTGGGTTTTAGTGTCTTCAGGGTTCTCCCCTTCATTTCCTTCAGTGGGTACCACAACGACATCTCCCACTGGGACACTCACTTCTGCATTAGCCATCTTTCACATGAAGTCAGGTAGCTGGGGCTGCTGCTAGAAACAAGGAACACGAGTAACTTCATTTGGTTTGAAAGACCGCAACCGTAGGCAAGGTATACCAGAGTAATAGCTACCAATTCCAACCGTACCCTGAAGATCATGGCCCTCAGAGAAGGATGGGAACTGTGAGGGGGCGGACATAGGCTCTAATCTTGTCAGAAACGCTTCTGCTATTGTAGGTTTTCTTGTATCTGTGATTCATGCCAGACCCAGCTCTGCCCACTCCTGAGAATCTACTCTGTGCCTCTCTTCTCAACTCAGTTTAGTAGCTTGGGAGCAACAATAATCAGAACATACACAACACAGAAACAGACCAGCACCACAAATCAGGACTTTAGTTTTCTTTTTTCTGGAGAACTGGTTTAGAGCACACCACTAGTTTTACCCAAGCAATAAGATCCTTGGAGGGTAAGAATCATGTATTTTCATTGCAACTAGCCATTATACCTCATCAAGTACAACGTACTCTTTCCTTTACAAATATCTTTATCCACTGACTGGCTGAACTGAGCTCTGTGGGAAGGGAAAGGTGACTTGTATTGCGTAGTTCTTCGATTTTTTTTTCCAATACTGGAGACTGAACAAAGGCCTTTTGCCCTGACCCATAGCCAGGTTCTGATAAGTCATGCAGGGCTGGTCTTGAACTTGTGACCCTTCTGTCTCAGCCTCCCAGAAAACTGGGATTACAGGCATGCCCAACACAGCTCCATTTGAGGAACTTAATACCTCACCTGACACTTCCCTTGCAGGGTCATTGAGGAATCCAATATCCACCACCACATGCTCCTTGATTTTAAAGTACATAACTCAAAGCCATTGTTCAATCCTTTTTTTGGTACTGGAGATCGAACTCGGGTCCTTGCACTTGCGCAGCAGGCGGCGAAACCACTGAGCTAAATCCCTGGCCTGTTCAATCTTGTTTTTAAGGTACTGGGGATTAAACACACGGCCTCCTGCACTCTAGGCAAGTTTTGTACCACAAGTTACCTCCCTTGTCCCAATCTTAATAAAAACCAAGAAAGTTGGGTCTGGGGATTCAGCTCAGTGGTTTCGCGGGCTGCTGCGCAAGCACAAGGACCCGAGTTCGATCCCCCGTACCAAAAAAAACCTAAGAAAGTCCCAAAATATTCTGCAGTTGTTAGTCTTCACAGTTGAAGAGTCATTTAAACCTGGAGTGGTGGCATATGCCTCTAATTCCAGCACTCAGGAGCCTGAGGCAAGAAGACTGCAGCACATTGTTGAGTTCAACCCCAGCCTAGACTATGCAGCAAGACCCTGTCTCAAAAAAGAAAATATAGATAAAAGTACTTTATTTACTGAAATACATGAAGATGACCAGAACTGTGCCTGAATAGAGACAACAGATCCAAGCTGAAATATGTAACTGGTGATCAAAGGACTTACACAATTCTCACCTCTCAGCTCTGCCACAGTATTTGTTTGCCTAATAAACACATACTTAAGCATGCTACTCAGAGTCTACCTCATTGGCCTCAAAATACCCTTCCAGAGTACACCTAAGAACTAGTATCACACCCCAGGAACGTTAAGCCCCAGCCATACCACCCACCCACTGCACTCTGAACATACACTTATATAATTTCAGGTTTCTGCGCCTCTGTCATTCCCTAAGTCCAAAACAACTTTCTCCTTTATTTCCTTCTCCCTTCAAGGCTCAGTTCAAAGCCCACTCCGTGAAGCCACATGGTCAAAGCATCTTCTTTTCCACATTCCCCCAACACTTGGTCTACAGGTCCCTCCTAGCATACACACTGTGCCCAGTATTGCCGCTAAATGAACATTTATCTCCACAGCTGCACACTATCTTCTGTGAAGACAAGTGGTGTCTTACCTAAATGTTTTTGTGCGTCCCACAACTCTGCTGGTCTTAGGCACTAAAATATGTCAGTCCAGTCAATTTGCTTGTATATGACCTAGTTATAATTCCTCATATCTGATTTCTGCACTTTATAATCCCACATCACATTTTTTCATTAATTCCACACCTCTATATTCAGCCTGTACAATGTCTTATACACACATTAAACTGTACCTCACAACCCCCCTCAAACCTGCTCCTGTATTTCCTATCTCAGTAAGTGGCACTTCTTCTATTTTTTGTTTCTTTCAGTGTTTTGAGACAGTCTTGCTATGTAGTTCAGGCTGGCTTTGAACTCACTATGTAGTCTAGGCTGGCCTCAAACTTGCATCGATCCTCCTGCCTCAGTATCTCGAGGGCTGAGATTACAGGCTTGAAACACCATGCCTGGCTCCTCCTACCCATTTTCACAAGCCAGAAAGTAAGAAGTTATTTTTGATTTCTCTCTTTCAATACCAAATCAACTACATATCCTATCCATTCTAATATATATATTTAAATCATCCTCCCATTCTCTATCTGTACTGCCATCATATCTAGGTCACCACACTGGTCCTAGTTCTTCCAGCTGCTTCTCATTATTCTAATTGCTGGTCTTGGTCTCCACCAATTCGTTCTCCACACAACAGCCAAAGTGATTCTACTAAAGGCCACAGGCCATTTTCCCACTTAAAAACCCTTTAGTGTAGTCCTGTTGCTATTAAAGTGCCAATACCTTCCTGTGGCTTGCGACAGCCTCAGAATCTGTCCTCGGTTCACCCTGCTAGCCTCCTTTCTCAGCTCTTCCCACACTGTGGGCTCCTACCATTAAATGTTTTCCAGTTTCCCAAGTATTTCCTCCCCTGAACCTTCACACTTGTTTCCTCCACCTTCTTTCCTGTCCTTATTGGTGAGTGCCTGCTCATCTTATTACTTATTTAAACATGACTTCCATGCGGCAAGGAATTTAGCTCAGTGGTGAAGTGCCTGCCTCCAAAGTGCAAGGTCCTGAGTTCCATCCCTGGTACCAAAAACCAAACCAAAACAAAACAAAACAAAAACAAAGTAAGAGTAAACTTCACTTTCATGAAGAGCCTTCTGTGACTTCCTTGACTAGGTCTGAACTTGTGTTCTCACTCCCTCTGCACTGGTAGTACCCCTGTCACAACCACCAAATCACTGTGTCAGCCCTTCCCCATCTGACTGTACATCCTAGGAAAGCAGTACTTTTTTTTTGGTGGTACTGGGGATTGAACCTATGGATTTCACACTGAGCTACATTGCTCGGGCCTTTAAAAAATTTTTTAAAAACAAGGTCTCACTAAATTTCGTAGCCTGGGGTGGAACTTGTGATGTCCTGCCTCAGCTTCCCAGAGTGCTGGAATTATAGACATGCCACACCCAGCTGTGACAGTCTCACTATATTGTCCAGGCTGGTCTTGAACTCCAAGGATCCTCCTGCCTAAGCCTCCTAAGTAGCTGCACAGCTACTGCTACAGCTGTGCACAGTAGGTGCACAGCTAAGGGCTGCTTTTCATATTCAGCAGCTTCTCCATGCCTACCACAGTGCCCAGCACATAGGAGTGTAATAATTGGGTTTCCAAATATCAGATACCTGTCTACAAAAGTACCTACCTTGGGCCAGGGATTTAGCTCAGTGGTGCCATCGCCTGCCTTGCAAGCACAAGGTCCTGAGTTTAATCCCTGAGGCAGGAGGATCTTGAGTTTGAGGCCACCCTAAACTACACAGTGAGTTCAAGGCCACCCTAAACTACATAGTGAGACCCTGTCTCCAAAAAACCAGAAGAAACTTGGAATATAGCAAGTATACCATGGTCGCACATGTATGTATTCCCAGTACTATGGGAGGCTGAGGCAGCAGGATCACAAATTTGAGCAAGGCCTGAGCAATTTAGCAAGACTATAGTATCTCAAAATAAAACATAAAAAACAGCTGGTGATGTAGCTCAATATGAAGGCCCTAGGTTCAATACCAAGTACCAAAAAAAGAAAAAAAAAGTATACAATAAATTTTTGTTCCCTGAATGACATCTTATCCTTAAAGACTTCTAATTTCCTAAATTAGGGTATATAAACTTGCTTAGGCATCTAAGCTAAGATGCATAGCATTTAGCCCATCATTATGAGCAGCTCAATAAATGATTCTCCTGCTTCAACCTCCTGACGGCTGGGATTATAGGTGTGTGCCAACACACCCAGCTCCAACAAATGTTTAGAGTCTACTCCACTTTATGCAGAGTCAGGTTCCTTGGATATGAAGGGATAACAGCAGCGTTTAGAGAAGAAAAAACAAAAACAAAAAAAGAGGAAAGAGAAACGTAACACTGTTGTATATTAGATGAACAATTCATTATGCATGGCCAGGGATTTAGCTCAGTGGTTCTGCCGCCTGCCTTGCAACCACAAGGACCTCAGTTCGATCCCCAGTACCAAAAAAAAAAAAAAAAAGAAAAGAAAAATTCATTATGCATTATAATACACAATCTGAACTTCTCCAAGTTAAAGGTTTAAAACTAGAAGAAAAAAAGAGACAGAATAAATACCTGGTTCATTTAGCTATATGAAACAGAACCAAATAATTAGGATCCTAAATCCAAAAAAGTCCAAAAAGTATGCATGGTAGATAGCACATGCCTGTGATCACAGCACTCTGGGAGGCTGAGGGAAGAGAATCACAAGTTCGAGCCTAGTCTGGGCAATTTAGTAACTTATCAACACTCTGTCTCAAAATAAAAAATTTTAAAAGGGCTAGAGATGTAACTCAGGGCAAAGGTCCTGGGTTCAATATCCATTACTGGAAAATGAGGGAAAAGAAAGAAAAAAGAAAAAAAAAAGGGGGCTGGGGATTTAGCTCAGTGGTTCCAGCACCTGCCTTGCAAGGCCAATGTCTGAGTTTGATCCTCGGTACCAAAAAAAAAAACCCCCCAAAATAAACAAATACTATTCCATTACTAGAAAAGCAGCCAGCACATCCCTCCCAGGTCCCAAGGTGTGGGAGGGGTCATATGAATTCCTAAGGTTTTTATCAAGAACTCACTCAACCACTTATTCAGAATGTCATAGGGGGGACTCGACCTTAGGCTAAAAGGTAAAGTTGAAATTATAAGTATCATTCTAATACTGCCTCTGTAACCCATTAATTTACCGAAGCTATTTTTTTTTTTTCATTTAAAGCATATTTTTGGGCTGGGGATTTAGCTCAGTGGTTCCGCCGCCTGCCTTGAAAGCACAAGGACCCGAGTTCCATCCCCAGTAACAGAAAAAAAAAAAAAAAAAAAAATCAAGCATATTTTTGTAGTAATAAAACCCATAAGCTTATCATATACTAAATACAAGTGGTTTTTTGGGAGGAGAGGGGTAGGGAGATAGGATTCCATTATGTGTTCTGGCTGGCCTTGAAATAGCCTCAGGCTGGCTTCAAACTCAGGGTGATCCTCTTGCCTCAGCCTCCCAGAGTACTGGGATTACAGGCTGGGCCACCACCCCTAGCTAAATACTAGAGCTTTGAGTTTTTTATTATTTTTTTTAATTTAAAGCCTATTTAAAATTGAAAACCCGGAGCAGAAGTTGTAGCTTAGTGGTACAGCATTTGCCTTAGCATGTCTGAGGCCCTGGGTTCTAGCCCCAGCACTGGAAAAAAAATACCAGGCAAGATTATTACTCCAAAAACTTGCTTTAAATTAAAAAAATAATACCTTAGGTAAATTGATGGTTTATAGAAGCAGAAACAGATGGATGCTTCTAATTTCAACCTCTTAGCCTGAGACTGAGACCCCTCTATGATACTCAGAGTAAGTGGTTGACTGAGTTCTTGATGAATACCTTCCTCAACAGGAACTCATATTTTACTCTTGACCCTCCCACACCTTGGAACCTGAGAGGAATGTTCTGGGTGCTTCTCTAACCTCCCAAGACTATGGAAGATAATTATAATCATCCACAAAGTCTTCAATGTCTGTCAGAGACACAGGTCTGACTCTACATGGCAATTCATACATTCTTTAGAGAAGCAAGTTTGGGTTGAATCTCTCTCATTACCCTAAATACCATATTTCTGGTAACCTGAAACCAGATCCAAAAACCCCACTGGCTAAATGCAAGGTCACCTCTGAGCTGAGTGTAAACTGAAAAGTACCTCTTGTTTATAGCAACAAAAACTCCTGAGGCAAGTGAGTTGATCCTTTGGGTATTTCACAGAAGGGACCTTAGAATGTTTCTGTGAAATCACGCAACACTATCTTAGTATATGCACTGCCAAAGCGAGCCACAATGCTGTCTTAAACTCTGGGGATGCACATAAAGGAAATGTGGTATAGAGATTGAACTGAGAGCCTTCACACTTAACTACACACTAATACTTTATTTTTGAGACAGTGTCTCTATAAATCACTAAATTGCCCAGACTGGCAGGGCATGGTGGCACACTCCTGTAATCCCAGCACACAGGAGGTTGAGACAGCAAGATCACTTCAAGTTTGACGAGTTTGTGCCACATGAATTCAAGAGCAGCCTGAACTACACAGTAAGACCCAGTCTCCAAAACAAACAAAAAAACTAAGTTGCCCAGGCTAAGTTTAAACTTGTGACCCTCCCAAAGTGCTGGGATTACAGGTATGTGGCTCCACATCCAGCTGAAAATGACCACATTTATGTGAAAAGAATTATTGGGGGGCTAGGAGTATAGCTCAGTGGTAGACCACAGCCTCAGCATGTCTAGACCCTGGGTTTCACCCCTAGCACCAAAAAAAAAAATAGTAGTTATTTTCAAAAACAAGACATTTTGAAAGTAAGCACTTTACTGTTCACATAAACTGTCAGAAAACTAAATAAATAATATCTGATCTTGTCTGATTTTTTTTGAGACAGGGTCTCACTATGTAGTTCAGGGTTGTCTTGAACTCAGTGTAGCCCAGGCTGGCATCAAACTCAAAACAATCCTCCTGCCTCAGCCTCCAAAGTGCTGGGATTACAGGCATGCACCACCATCCCCTGGCAGTTAAATTCTTTTTTTTTTTTAGTTAAATTCATTTTTGTGTGTTCTGAAAACTCGTGGCAATAAAATATGGCAAGAAAGCACAAGCATCACATGATTGTAGGAATACTGGAATCGGTAGTTGAAAACTATTGGATATTCTGAAATTTTCTAACCCCAGAATATACTCATTCAACATTCTATTGTAACTTTTTTGTTTTGTTTTCTTTTGTTTTTTGAGGCAGGGTCTCACTATATATTTCAGGCTGCCCTTTAACTATGTAACCCAGTCTGGACTTGAACTCGAAGCAAACCTCCTGCCTCAGCCTCCAGTGGCACCATACCCAATGTCTTTTGCAACTTTTAAACCTTATAGTAAGAAATTTGGAAGTTGAGTCTTTATTAAGACCAAAAGTCTTTACATTCTTTATTCCTGATAAAAAAAATTTTTTTCTGGCATCAGGGATTGAACTCGGGACCTTTGGATTTTGAGGGAGGTGGCGGAACCACTGAGCTAAATCCTGGGCCCCTCCTGATACATTTAGTAGGTGATCGGCGTACTACCAGATGTCACAAGGCCAAAAGGCAGATTACACAGAACCAACCACCACGAGGGAAATATCCAGAGCAAATGAAGTTCTGGACAAGTCACAGATAAGTGGGCACTATACCTTAAGTATCTGGGGAAGCAATGTGAGTTCTTTGGAGAGTCATCCCACTAGAGTTCAGGGACCAAAACAGGGCCCAAATTAACCCAATGAAGAGAAGTTAAACATTCAATATGTTTGCTGAAGGGGCTGTGGATGTAGCTCACTGGTAGAGTGTGAGGCCCTGGGTTCAATACCCAGCACTACCAAATAAAAAGTGTCTGCTTAAGTAAATAAAAATGACAAGTCACCATCACTTAAGTCAGTAGACAACAAATATACAGAACTACCACGTATATGCCTGACATGTCAGAAGGGACAGTCCAATCACTGCATGAAAAAGTCCCACAAAGAGGGAAGGGCAGAAGGACATGTAGTTAACCTCTACTTCTTGGCTCTCCTAAATAGACACCATTCAAAGCCTCTTTTGTGTCTGTTGCAGTTATCTGAGATTTCTCTTATTTTGAGAGAATCCTTCTGATTCCTAGGTCAAGTCTGCAGGATTTCTCTCCTAGACCCTCATTAAGGCTTTGCCCTCATCTCTCCTGCTCAATTAGATGACATCTGGCCAACTAATTCCCCTCATCTCAGAAAGCAGAAAGCTCTCATCTTTTCCCCCCTCACTTATCTTAGGTTTCCTCACCCCGACAGGACCACCCTGCTCACTACCTGTGCATGGGTGAGCACAATCTTCCCGTCCCTCTCAGGTGGACCCGCTCATTCCCACTTTGGGAGGCTCCAGGTGTCTTAGGGCTGCCCTCTCTGCGGTAAGCCCGGGGCTGCTCTTTCCCTTGGAGCTTCCTCCTTGTCCCCTGGCCCTCGGAAAGGACCCGGCTCCTTCCTCCTCGGCTAAATGACCCGGCCTCCAGAGCGCCCCTCCGAAGGGGGATGGACCCTCCCTTCCTCCGCGGAGCCTCTCTCTGCGATCGCTGCCGCCCAACGCTCCGATGGTTTCCTACGGCGGCCTCCGGGCTGCATGCACCGCTGCCCCCTCCCCGGCGGCACCCGGGTCACTCCCAGCTCTGCGCGGAAGCGCCGGGGCTCCCGGACTCCTCCCGTCACCCCGGGCTCCTCAGGCCCATCGCCGGGGTCCCGGGCGCCCGGACGACTAGGTCCGGAATCGCACTGGCCGATCGGCCGAGGACTTCCGGGCCCCCCGCTCCCAGGGCGCGGGGCCCCCCCACTGCCGGGCTCGCCCGCCCCGCCGGCCTCTGTCCGGGACCCGAGCCCAGGCGGCGCGGACGGCCGCGCTGGGGGCGGCCCGGCTGC